CCGAGCTGGGCAGCAGCACAGCCAGACGGGGTTCGGCGGCGTCGTCGGTGTGGGAGCGGCTAGCGAGAGGCACCGGTCAGAGAGCAGCCCCGAGGTTCCCCGAGCGGTGGCGGGGCCGAGCCGCCCGCAGGTACCGGGGCTGGCCCCGTGGTGCTCTGCAGTCAGACCCCGGCAGGCGCGGGACAAGCTGGGGGCTCCCCATCTCCGGTAGCCGGCGCTGCGCCGGCGTGGACTGCCCCGGTGTCTCCCGCAGTGCCGTGCGGATGGGGCCGGGAGCTGCCGGGAACCGGCCGGAGCCCGTGGCGCTCCCCCGGGTAAGGCAGATGCGACTGTGGCCTTGGACCCCGCGGAGCGTGTGGCTACCTGAGCCGGTGCTGGTGGCTCCGGGGTGACAATAAATATGCTTGGGATGGCTCTGTCTTGTCTGTCCTTGGGTAGGGAGGGGGGATGGGGAAGCCCACCCAGATCTAGGGAGCTCTGGGCTGCTGAGGCCTCCTGTGGTGCTGAGTCTGCTCAGATACCCAGCAGAGCAAGTCCCTTAGGCTCAAGGATGGCCCAACGCCTGTGGGACCTGCAGGGGCCAAGGGGCTGTGCTGGGTAGCACATGGCTGCAGGCACAGGGTTCTTGTTCCTGTCTCCCACAAGACAGAAAGGCCCTGCTCCCCTTTGTGCTGCAGGAGATCTGGCGTGGCCTCTGCCAGGTCCTGGGGCAGCTCTGGCAGCAGGATACAGACTTGGTGATCACAGTGGGGTGGTAGCAGTCCCCCACCACCAGCTGTTCCCTGGCAAGGCCATCCCTGGACAGGTACCTGGGGCTTCCACAGAGGTGAGTCCAGGAACACAGCACCCAGTCTGGCTGAAGTCCCCATCCCGGTGGGGGTGCTCAGGGTTCTGCCTGGCCCCAGTGGCTACTGCACTCAGGAAAGAAGCCAAAGCGTTCCCTCTGCTCCACCAGCACCCCTGGCTGCGGCTCTGACACACCATGGACCTGCCCAGATGGAGGCTGCTGCTGTCTGTGAGTTCCCAGGAACCTCAGTGGCACTGAGGCCACCAACTGCTGCAGGGGACAGCGCTGCTCCCTTCTTTAATGACACCCAGTCACAGATCACAGCTCACCATAAGGGCCCAAAGGCACTTGGGAGAAGGGAAGAGCATATGCCAGAGTTTTCAGAATAAACTCAGCAGCAGCTCCCAAGGCTCTGAGGAACAGCACCTCCACTGCACCCAGCTGAAGCAGTGGAGTTGACACACACCCAGCAAGAGCAGCAATAACATGCTTCTGTTATTTTTTAATAACAGCAGTACCTCTCCGTGTCCTGGAGGCGACTCAGCGCAGGATGAGTGCAAAACCAAGGCTGAGCTGTTTGTCCTCAAGGACAAGCTCTCCAGTGCCCACGGGAGGGGGCCACACACTGCAAGGGCAGAATTGGCGCTCGCAGAGCCCAGGAAGGGGCCAGCAGGGCTGAGGCACGGCTGCTTTGGGGCTGAGAAGCCATTGTGCCAGCCGCAGCCATCAGAGCCACAGGGATGCAGTGGGAGCGTGGCACCCCCTCAGGACCAGTGCAGTGGGGCTGTAGCACAAGTTCCGTCCTCTTTCTGCTGCCTGGTTTCGAGCCTCAAAAAGACCAATGCACAACTCTTCAACATTTTATTAATGATCAGCAACAAAAATTTACAAGAGAGAGGACACCAGACACAGCCTGGAAGGACCATCTGGCACAGTGCAGTGAGCTGCTCAGGATACCCACCACAGTATCCTGGAATGTAAGAGGCAAATGGGGCTTAGAGCTCAGGACCCGTCCGCCCAGCCTTGCACCTCCCCTTAGAGACAGGCATGTCAGCCATCAGAAAACAACCCTAAAACTTCACCTGGCCAGATCCTGCCCTCAGGTAAGCCATCAGGCACTAGGTGGGGCTCTGAGCACACTCCACAAAAGGCACTGGGTCCTGCTGCCTTGCAAATGCAAGAGCCTTTGGGAAAAGGCCGCAGGATCCCTATGCCTCAGGTGGAGAAATGCCTTGAACCAGCATCCCAGCACCACCTGCCCTTTCAGCAGCTGCCACCTGCAGCCTGTCACTGGGGCAGCAAAGAATTTGCCTTCGTCCAGCTCAACCCAGAGTAGCTCTGGCTCTGTACAGGGCCAGGATCTGAGGAGAGGCAGCACAGTGAACTCCAGAGCCCAGCACCACCTCTGGCAGCCAGCCCCTTGTTCCTAAGCAAAAACTGTAGGAGGAACCACATGAGCCCCATCTTGTCCCCAAGGCTGCTGTCACTGTCTGTCCAGCCACCCACCCACACCACTGCCCAAGGGGCTGCTCTGGAATACAGACACAGCCAGGACAGCCAAGTCTGGCAGTGCAAGGGGGCATGGACAGCTCCTCCACTTCCCTCCTACTAAGAGCCAGAAATGGCAGAAGGTAAAAGCACATCAACATGTTAAAACATTAGTTATAATTAAAACCTTTTGTTTTTTTTCAAATCTCCTCCTGGGAAAAGGGATGGGGACTGATTAATGGAGATAAAACTAGGCAGCAGAATCCCAACTCGTTATGTCTGCATAATTAGTGCAGGAGGAGCTAGGACAGCACATCCTGGGTGCCAGCAGTGCTGCCCCCCTTCAGGGGTTCTTTCCTGAAGAGCAGTTGCTCTCCCAGAGGGTGAAGTTACAGCACTCTGTGGCTCACGCATCCACGCTCTGCAGCCTAATGCTTCTGCTCCTCCAACCTTCTCATGGCCTCCAGCACAGCCAGCTCCTTCGCTTCTTTCTTCTGGTTGCGAGCTTCAAACTCCAGCCTGCAAAAATCACACAATTCCATGAGATTCTCATCCATCCATACCTCTTGTAGACAAAAGCACCTGGAACAGGAGAGCACTGCCTTCCCCTATGCTGCTCCGCTCTGAGAGCACTTCAGAAATCCCCCAGGACCCCCAGACTCCTCCAGAGCCTCTCCCAGAGCATCCCATGGCTGTTGCCAGCACTCTGCAGTCCTGAACTCCCACACTGGTCACACACAACTTCTTTCTCCCTCTATGGAAGAAGCTGCTATTCCACTCTTGGGCTCTCCTCAGTGTTTTAACACCAAAATCAAGCTTATCACTGATGTGAGCCAAGGTGCTGAAAGTGAAGGACTCAGGCCTAAAAGACCAAATCTCTGAAAGAAGCAACATGCTCTTTCCCAGGATACAGCAAAGGAAATTTATCATTAAAAGAGAAAAACCAATAAATGTGATGTGCAGAACATTCTGAAACAGCAGAGTTCACAGCTGTTCCTTTCCCTGCACATTTGGTACAAGCACATTTACAGTCTGCCCAAGCCATGAAAGAGGAAGGACAAGTTTGCTGACTCTATGCCTTTAGATAACACCTTCTCTTCCTATTTGGTCCCATTAATCAGTCCCCAGACACTCTGGATGGAACAGTATGTGACATAACCGGGAGACAAAGAAATCCAACCTGTTCTTGATGATTCTTTGCACAATTAGATCTGTGGTGAGATTGCTGCCACTGTCCACCAGCTGAAAAATGCCTCGCTGCTTTGGTTCCTGCAAACAGACGTAGCACTAGGCTGTGAAAACATGTGGGACCTGGGTGTGCAGCTCAGCGGTGAGAGCTGAGCTGTGGCAGGTCCTGTGGCAGCCAGACAGGCAGGATGCACAGTGATCTCCTCACAGGCAGAACAAACACTTGCTGAAAGCAAAGCTCCACATAGACAGGAGCTGCCCAGGACAGACAGCACAGCACACAGGATTTCTCACCCTCCCATGAAGGCATCAGAAACAGGCAGAGCAAAACAATGCTTGGAAGAGTGGAGCTGTTGGGAATGATTTACTGACTGCTCCACATAGCTACCCCTCAGGGGTGGGTGAAAAGCTGCATCACCTGCCAAAGCTGCAGCCAGGTAGCCTCCTCTGCAATGCACCTTCTCACTGTAGGAATGCAATCAGAGCCAGGCTCTGTCTATCAAATGCTGACAAAGCACCTGGTACTTTACCTCATATGGATCAGAACCATCCTTATCTGGCACCACCTCAGTCATCCCATGACAAACAAGTGTTACCTGGAGAAGGACACAAAAGCTATTGACAAGATCCAAAAGATGACAGGGACATTTCCTGCCACTACTCCCACTGAGCACAGCCTGGAGACCAGCAAAGCCACCCTCCTGCACCACCTTGGCAGTCCCAGGCTGAGCTGGATGCTCCCTCCTTGCACCCCTGTGTTGTCCCGCACCACTTCAGCTCCCCACACACATCACCCACCAGCATCTTGTTGTGTGCAAGAACTCACCCTGAAGTGATCCAACAGATCAGCAGTGACGGCGTAGGGAGCTCCAATCACCACCTCTGAGACATACTAAAAAAGGAACCAGGTAGAGTCCAGATTTGGAAAAAAAACCATCAAACAAAAACCCAAAACCCAACCCCAAGCCAGAAGTCAACTGTTCCTTAAAGAGACCTGAGCAGGTGACCTGGCTAGAGAATCAGAGTTTCAAATAAGGGAACAGAGAAGTGGGTTCAGCAACTGCTTGTCACACAACAGCTTTTTGTTCCTCTACAGAATGTCCTTTCTGTGCCTGTAGAGGAAATCCAAAAGTTAATTGCTCCAGGCACACATTTCTGGGTCTCCCCACAATTTTGTCCCAGGCATGTTCTCCCCTGCTGCAGGGAGCAGAGTTTCCCAGTGGCACGTGTCTGTCCACACAGAGCCACACAGCACCCAGCCCTGTCACTGCCAACAGAGCAGCTGGATGAGGCAGCAGCCTGCATCAGCCAGGACAGCACAAGAGCCTAGCAGAGCCTCCCAAGAGCTCATCAGCAGCACCTCTGGCAGCCACAAGGGATTCATCTTGTCTGTCTTCTCAGGACACACCAAGGAACTCATGCAAGATCACTGAGCACAAGTGAACACCCCCAGGCAATTTCTGGAACAGTGGAGAGACGCTGACTCACCCTGCAGGCCAGGACACTAAGGGTTCGCTCATGGATGTTCATGATGGGATAATTCTTCCCTTTGTAGCGATTCACCTCCTACGGCAGAGCACCAGGCAGTCAGAAGAGACACAGAGAACTTCTTTCCCTCTTGCTCTTTCCCAAAATGAAATTTCCATATTGGTCAGTACATCCCTGCCCTGTCTCCTGGGGCACAGCCTGCCTGGTTCAGAGAACAGGCCCAGGCTGCTCTGCCTTTGGACAGGTTCTAC